ATGTGACTGCAGAGTCAGTTACATAGGCAGGACAAAGAGGGTTTTGAATTCCAGAGTGAGAGAAAATCTGTCAAACTGGGTTCAAGATGATGTCAACCAACCTGACGCTAGTACTCCGAGTTCAAGGAAGCCACCAGCGTCATCAATAGGGAGGCACATTTAAGAGTCACATCATCAAGTTAACCATTTCTCGGCGTTCCGAATTCTACTGCGTCATCCTAGTTCGCGGTTCTTGCGAATCACCGAGGCCGTAGTGATATACCGAAGGAGATCAGCCCTATATGTGCAAAAACAAATGGTGGTTAATCTTCAGTTGCCGTGGTCTTAATTCTACAGCCGCCATTCAGTCTGATGCACGTGATTAGACAAGGGACACCCTTTGCTCATTATCTTGATTATTTTCTATTATCATAGTGGTATGGACGATATGATACGAAATGTACACGTCTACTATTGTTCATGTTCTTTATGTGTTATTCAAATTATCAAAGGAAACTAACTGTTTTGACTTGCGATAATTACCCACTGCTCCTGCCTACTCCATTTCTTGGGCTCCACTGGTCCACAATAAATGCTTATCAACACGTAGGCTCCGCTTTAGTTCTCGTCCGTCTGGCCACATTATGATCAGAGCCAGCCGGGAGGTGCCTTCTGGATTCCAATAGGTTCACAGATCTCTCACATATCCAGTGACTGGTGCGGTGACGATTAAAAGTGCAGCAAGCAAAGGCTCCCGAATAGTGCAGGGCGGTTGATATCCTACTCCACAGAAGTCTGAGGTCAGTAAGAACACAGAGAGAGAGAGAGAGAGAGAGAGAGAGAGAGAGAGAGAGAAAGTTCGGTATGCAATGCGTCTTGATAAGCTTGCCTGACCGAGCGCTGAGACGATTTCTCAGTTGCCAGTCAGGGGAGATGCATGATGCTCCTCCAGGTAAAATTCATGAAAACATGACAAGGTACCAAGGCATGATCAGAATCGACGCAGCTACTCCAGAACGAATGGCTATCCAAGACAGAACCACGCCACCTGTAACTTATCACAAGATGATCTAGATGGGTCCATCGCTGACCAGCTACAAGATGACGCCAAGTGGCACTTCGGCATCAACTGTGTCTAAAAGCGGTGCTACTCAGAAACAACTGGTGCGGCGTACACAGTTACGAATGACGACCGCCGTTGCCCGTACGGTCGGAGTAAAGCCCACAATTACCATCTAGCTGAACTTCTGAAGAGCCCAAGCGACCTACTTGTGCGTTCATATCCCATGCAAGTACTATGACATCTGAACTAGTAGCACTGCGTAGTAGAGTGTTCAGTTCATGACAGAATGTATCCTTGGCAGCATCAGAACTGCAGTCGGTGGGAGCATAAGCAGAAATAATGAACAAACAGCTTATTGTACTACTTCGTGAAGCAACCCTATTTGATGTCGTCAAACGGGTTGCACACAAACGGATGCTCACCGCAATCCAACCAACCAAAGATGGCCCAGCCTTGGAGCTGAGTATGATACCAATTCCATCTAGGCCAGAGGCTGCCGCACCAGCGTCTCCGGATGCTGTCAACCATGAGCGAGATGACAGGAAGGGCGCAGCTAATTCAACTACCCCATTCGGGTCACTGATCATACTTTCGGACATACAACACACGTGGTGGCGTAGCAACTATATTTACCAACCAGGGCGGAAGCAATATAGCCGCACCCCTTGGCAGTTGTAAACCCGTAAACCCACACAAATGCGAGCAAACCTTATATAGTCGAATTCATACAACAACAAAGATCAAATTTAGAGTACTGCCATAAATGCGGGTAATTGTATTGTTACAATACTTATGCGCAAAAAATTTACAGATACATTTTTCGTGCATAAGTTGAGGCAATAGTATTTCATAACACAAACAAAGTTCAGTCCACTAGTGAATTCCCTCTCTATGGGGAGAATTGCCAATCCATGAGCCTTGTCTGGATCATTGATGATTAATGGTAGTTCGTTAAAAGCCTGAATTCTGAGAATGCTCTCGAACAGCTGGCTGCACTAATGGTTCGAGTATGAAAGATGCGCAGCAGATTTTAAAATTGCTATTGTTGTCTGACTATCAAAGGCTAAAATAATTAACTTATTTTGTCGTTTCCTGAATCTTTTACAAAATACCGCAATCTTCTTCATAAGAGAAAAAATTCCTCTTTTTCAATATGTTCCTAAACTTCGCTAGGTGAACAACCATAGTTATTATCAAGCAGATTTAACGTTGTAGGAAAAGCCTATGTGTTTGCAAGCTCATTGATTTGTTGAAATCTATAGCCTTTGGTCAGTCAAACTGACAAACAACAGTTCACGTTTTAACTCATCGATATAGCAAACAATTCTTCTCTGTCCATACATCTCTTCCGGCGGATTCCACATTCCATGTTTTGATCAAACTCAGCGTAATGTTTCATTGAGTTATCCACTATAATAGGAAGCAATTTCTCTCCATCCTGAAAAAGGCAAACTGTAAACTGACACTGAGAGTGCTGAGTGTAAAGGTGGATTGAGTGGAACAACTGAACAGAGACTGGAATTGCTCAGACCATCTGTCTATGCATCTATGAAAACCAGTGATTTGTGACCTGTGCGCATCACAGATGACCTTCTTTGTCCAGTGGTTTGAATGAGCTGAAACAGCTTGCGGGTGCTCCTCATGAGGGCGAAGGCCTCCATTTCCAAGGCGCTTTGGGGCCACCGAACTTCCCGATCGCTGCGAAGACCTCGTTTGAGTTGTCTACTGATTGTACGGCGAACTTCATTCTGGTCTGGGTTTACTTAGAAAGTTCTGTGGCGGTCGAACATTGTCAGGGAAAGCGCCAATATCCAACCATTCAACGGGTGATGAGACAACCCACAGACTGATTGACCTGAAGGTAACATTGCTTGATGCAATAACTTTCACTGGTGTTCAATAGCGGTGAGTGAGACGCAGGCTAGTTTGCTTACCAGTGATAGCTGATAATCTAGCTTAGCCGACTGATAATAACGGAGGCGACGACTTTATTCATGCCTCGATGTGGCGATTCAGCAGTTGCAGTAATGCATGACCGGCAAAATAGGACAAAAGCTATATGAATGAACATAAGGATATTTGAGTATGCTGCTAGTAGCCACCACAGAACCATAAAGTCCGGACCCATCATCTCATCCTGTTGGGCCTCGTCAGCAGCGCCCCCAACCAATTCTACTGGAATCGAACCCATGCCTACTCTTGAGATCCAGTGATGGGTGCTGGCGTCAGACCACCGCATCGCATCGAATGAGTAATTTCTAACGCAGTAGTTCAACCAGCTCTCACTTGTCGCCATACTTCGGGTAGCCATGCGAGAGTGAAAACAAAGTTTGAGCAGCGATCCAAAATGCATTATTGCAGCACATTTGCTCTTCTATCCCACTGTGGCTCATTTCGATGGTTGCTCCTTGTTAACCGTCGCGTTGATGTTCATTGGCCTGTATGTACTGTGCTCACTTAGTCCAGTCCAAACCTACCTCGTCTTGGACCGCGTTGGGCTTCCTTCATGATATGCGGAGCCAAATGTGCACTGGTCATCCAAACTATGTGTGCGTAGCGTCCATCCAACATCCGCGCCGTTCTACCAGTTGCCTTATCAACCTATTGCTTTCTTAGGTGCTTTGGCGCACTCGTGCCCGGGACGAGTCAGTTCGTCTCGTGTCTAGGGCCATGTAATGCTTCGTTCACCAAGATTGTCTAATCTAGCGGTCATTTGTCTCGTTCCCCCACCAGAGATAAAGTACTCTGCATAGGTAGTGATATATAAACAATTCCCCAATTCTGCTTTTTAAGGTCAGGTTTAATGCAAGGATGACACGATTAAGCGAACAACAACATTGGGAATTTCGGCTTTCAATGTTAAGTGTATGTGACATGAGGACTGCTGATGACGAAACTGTTGAAGGTACGTCTGGCTACGGCTTTTGTTTAGTAGCCTCGTCTTCTGAATACACGTCTCCTGTAAGTTGGATGTTACTGCATCAGCATCAGATGTTTATGCATCAGCATTACAAACATTTCCCACTGCATCCATCCTTTCAATATCACTTACTGTTTCCCGGAGATCAACTTTTGTATTATTAATTTCATCTTTGATCACACTATGATTAGCACCCTTGGTTTTACCACTTCCGTCAAGGTGTTTTCGTTGGATTTACACTTGGTATTTAACCAGCTTCCGTAGTATAAATGCCGCTATTGTCACATGCCGCCGAGGGCGGATCGCCTCCCCTCCCTACACTGGGCCACTGAACACACGTCGACACCCACTGTGACTAAAATGCGTGTGAATGCAGTCTGTTGGCCTAGTTGTCATAGCGTGCGAACGTTGAACGCCTCCAACGAAATGGGTCAGCGTGGCCTTATAAACGACCGTTACCTACAAGTGTCTAGTGAGTAGTGCGGGTAAAAGCAAATGATTCTACTCCAGCGGCGTTACGACTGCAGTCAAATAGGCTGGAAATTATAGGAAGTAGGTTAGCAATGGGGGTTGGGAGAGAATTAAGAGATGTAACGTGTAAAAGAAAGAAGGGAGGCACCAGGACTAGCATGTTTTCGCTTATCTGCCCTGCTGTATACAGCAGATAAGGTAACCCTTGATAATCTGCGCGATGGCCGATGCAGGATGTAGTTGAATTTTGAGGGAATTGTCATGGTCGTATGTGGGCTGAGATACTGCCAAGACGTCCAGACCTAGACCGATGGACTCTAAGGGAGTTAAATCACATTCTTTGGCTCAAAGCCAACCCACGAGGCAGTGTGGAGGTGGCAATGATTTGGTTTTATAGAAATGAACGCCATCTCACTTTCAAACCCAGAGCTGGAAAACCAGGAGAACGGGATTATTGACATCTAATTATTGACCAACCTTATAGGAGCCAATATACCTCAATGAGTCGAAGAGAAACGCAGGCCGTCGCACCACTTTAAGACCCAATCTCCTCGCGACTGTACTCACTGGTACGTGTTGCACCTCAGTTGGTGTTGAAGCATCTGAAGTTGAACTGCGCGGGCCAGCAAGTAAATGGACCATTTAGGTAGGTCCACTCACTGTTCAACTTGGCAACGGGTGACAACCTAGTATTTAAGCGTGTATAGTGCACCAAGGCAAAGCAACATCCAACTCACAGGAGACGTGTATTCAGAAGACGAGGCAACTAAACAATAAGCCGTAGCCTTACGTACCTTCGACAGCTTCAACATCAGCAGTCCTCATGTCACATACACTTAACCTTGAAAGATGAAATTCCTAATGTTGCTGCTCGCTTAATCGTGTTATCATTGCATTAAACCTGACCTTAAAAGGCAGAATTGGGGAATTGTTAAATTTCAATACCTTCTGGTGGGAGAATGAGACAAATGTCCGCCTGATTAGACAACGTTGGTGAACGAAGCATTACATGGCCCTAGACACGAGATCGACTGACTCGTCCGGGGCACGCGTGCTTCGACAAACCTAAGTAGGCAATACGGTGGTCAGACAACTGGGAGAACGGCGCGGATGTGCGATCGGCGCTGCGCACACATAGTTTGAATGGCCAGTGCACATTTGGCTCGTCATATCATGAACGAAGCCCAACTCGGTCCCAGACGAGGTAGGTTTGGACTGGACTAAGTGGGCAAACAGTACGTACAGGCCAATGAACACCAACACAAAGGGTAACAAGGATCAACCACCGAAATGAGCTACGGTGGGATAGAAGAGCAAATGTGTTGCAATAATGCCTTTTTGATCGCTGCTCAAACTTTGTTTTCACTCTGCGATGGCTAACCGAAGCATGACGCCAAGGGAGAGCTGGTTGAACTACTGCGTTAGAAATTACTCATTCGATGCGATGCGGTGGTCTGACGCCAGCACCCATCACTAGATCTCAAAAGTAGACATGGGTTCGGTCCCAGTAGAATTGGTTGGGGGCGCTGCTGATGAGGCCCCATAGGATGAGATGATAGGCCAGGACTTTTCTGGTTGTGTGGTGGCTACGAGGAGCATACTCAAATATCCTCATGTGCATTCATATGGCTTTTGTCCTATTTTGCCGGGCATGCATTACTACAACTGCTGAATCGCCACATCGAGGCATGACTAAAGTCGTCGCTTACGTTATTATCAGTCGGCTTAGCTAGATTATCAACCATCACTGATGAGCACACTAGTCTGCGTCCCACTCACTGATATTGAACACCAGTGAAAGTTATTGCATCAAGCAATGTTACCTTCAAGTCAATCAGACTGGGTGTTGTCTCGTCACCCTTTGAAGGGTTGGATATTGGTGCGTTCCCTGGCAATGTTCGACCGTAGCAGAACTCTCTCAGTAAACGCAGACCAGAATGAAGTTCGCCGTACTATCAGCAGACAACTCAAACGAAGTCTTCGCAGCGATCGGGAAGTTTGGTGGTCCCTTTCGTTCTGGAAATGGAGGCCGTTTCCCACACTAGAAACACCAGCAAGCCGTTTCAGCTCATTCGATCCACTGAACAGAGGAGGTCATCTGTGAGGCGGACGGGTCACAAATCACTGGTTTGCAGAGACGCATAGACAGATGGTCTTAGTAATTCCAGTCTCTGTTCAGTTTTTCTACTCATTCCACCTTTATACTTAGCACACTCAGTTTCAGTTGACCGTTTTGCTTCTTCAGATTAGCGGGAAATTGTTTGCTTTTAAAGTGGATGAATCAATGACGCTCTACGCTGAGGTGGAAATAAACATGGTTTGTGGATTCCGCGGAAAGGGACCTATGGACAGATAAGAAATTTTTACTGTCGATAAAACAAGGAATGTTGTTTGTCATTGACAGTTTGACTGACCATATGCTGTAGATTTCAACAAATCGATGACCTTGCGAATCCATATATTTTTCGTATACCATTAAATCTGCTTGTTGTTAACTATGGTTTTTCACCTAGGGAAGATGAGGAAGATATTGTGAAAGGGAAATTGCTTGTCGAATGGAACAACTTGCAGTATTTTGTGAATGATTCGGGAAACGACAAAATAAATGGATGTTTTGAGCCTTTGAAATTCATACAACAATGTCAGTTTTCGAATCTGCTGCCCATCTTTCATGCTCGAACCATTAGCACAGCCAGGTGTGCGAGAGCATTCTCGGAATTCAAACTTTTAATGAACTACCATTAATCATCAATTATCCGAACAAGTCTGATGGATTGGCAATTCTCCCTATAGAGAGGGAATTCACTAATGGACTGAATTTTATTTGTGTTCTCAATACTATTGCCTCAAGTTATGCACGAAAAACGTATCTGTAACCTTTTGCACACGAGTATTGTAACAATACCAGTACCCGCATTTACTGCAATATTCTAAATTCGAGATCTGTTGTCGTATGAATTCAACTATATAAGGTTTGTTCGTATTTGTGTGGGTTTACGGATTTACAACTGCCAAGGGGTGCGGCTATATTGCTTCCGCCCTGGTTGGTAAATATAGTTGCTACGCCACCACGTGTGTTGTATGTCCGAAAGTATGATCAGTGACCCGAATGGGGTAGTTGAATTAGCTGCGCCCTTCCTGTCATCTCGCTATTGGTTCGGCCAAGCCCTGTGCATGCTTTACCAGCGATTACTAAGCCGCGCTCTGTTTGTGCAAACATGGCTACGTTGGAAAAGGCCGCGTGAAGGACAAACGTCCACATAGCGACAATGTATGAAATCAATGACATCCTGTCTGGCCATCGCCGGTCCCTTTCGACTTCACGGCTGGGGAACCAAAGATGAAGGATTCCAGTGGCTCACAACGCTGAAAGCAATTGCGCGAAACTGATCGCAGTGGAAACAATGCGCACAAGTCTGCCTGATCCCAAATTTACATAAACACCAAAATCCGCAAAAGAAATTACATCATTGGATGCGCGAAACGGCAAAAACTTGTTGTTCCGTTTTTTCATTCACTATCAAATGCTTGTACATGTTCTGTATAAGCTGGCATACTTTATAATTAATTCCACGGTTTTGAATGGCTGGAGGTCTATTTTATAGACTGTTGCGTATATATATATATATATATATATATATATATAGCGTTAGGCACCTCATGCTGAGGCTGCATTTAGTATGCTTCTTTATCTTAGCTGGGCTAGAACAGCAAATATGTACGCTATTTCCGAAACACACTAGATCTGAGTTAAACCCTTAACTTTTAGTTGCTCTTTTCTATTAATCTTCATGTTCCTTGTTTATTTTGCCATTCACTCTGAGCTTTAGTCGGTTTATATCTCTCGACTTGCATACCTTAAACATCACCCTTACACTACATCAGATGAGATACACATTTTGGATTTGCTCTGCTCTGTCATTATGCCACATATATACTACCGTCCCGGCTGCGTGTTGATTTTACTTCATATTCTCTATTGGTTTTTTTATATCCCTGGTGTGGCTGCGCTTAATGTGAATGTTGACAAGATGCCTACCTGTGTAACACCCATCACCACGATTACTGACTCCAAAAGACTGTGAATCAATGCTAGGAGGGACGGGGTGCATGGTCCTCGTGGCCATGCTAGGGCCCAAAGGGTGCTAACATGTAACCAAGGTGGGGCGAAGTACGGTCCAGCCACTGCATTGTGCACATATGGTACGTATGATTCCCAGATTAAATAGACATGAATTCTGTTGCCGTGTATGTAGGCCGGCTCCGTTAATGAAACATGGCGCCTATCCACATGCATCCCAGTCTTATTCCTTCGGGCTTACACTGGATTTGGAGTGGGTGTGAATGTTGTTGGTTAGAGGACACTTCACACATGCTTATTCCCAAGGCAGCGCAGAACAATTTCTTGAGAAACAAATAAGGCAGGTAATGAGAGGTGGTTGTCAAAGCCATATGCATTCAGCAGTAAGTGATGCACAGTTCCATAATCACCGGAGATTCATCATCTGCGTCCTTACAGCTAGCAGAGCAGAAAGTTAGTGGACGGTTGACCACTGTTGGTGTCGGGCTTCTGGGACCAATGGGAAGATAAGGCAGACCTGCAAGGAGAAGGGGACGAATGCTTGATTGAGCATTGGATAGAATCTAGGCCAGCGTGAGTGACCATGTGGCTAGAATTGCTCACAAATTGGCACTTTGGCCGCGATCTGCATCGGTAGAGGCCATATCTATCAGGCTGCCTTCGACTGCGGCCTTTATTGCACAAAATACGAACGAAATCGTGTCAAATGTAAAATAAGAGACGATAGGAATCATCCGGTAAAACAACATACGAAGTACAAAAGCTAATACACCAAACGAAGCACGTGACGGCTTTTATCGTGTGTCCAACAGACATCACATCCCAGCACAGACGTGAAATCAGTAGTGCACGAAATCTTGTGACTACATTCCAGGTTGACGGAGGTCGCACAGCGAGCAAACTAAGGAGGAAGGTCCGTCTCCTCGAGTGCAGATCAACGAACCACGCAATCCGTGGCTAAAGCAATCATCTATCTTGTACGTTAGAACAAACTAAAGCGAAAAGATCGAATTCAGCCAGTGCCCAAGACTCTAATCAAAACAGACACGAAACACATCGGTCAATCTAATAGTATTAACCTGAGGTTAACACCCATAATCAATCTAGAAACAGACCGGTCTGTTTCAGTGCAATCTGATTCGTCATTAGTCTCCAAAAGGGCTACGGAATGCCGCACATACGACGTTTTGTGCTTCCTTGCAGGGAAGTTTGTCTACTCTAGCAGTAACACACAACGTTCTATAGAAAACGTCGCTGCTACTTCGTTTACAAGGATTTTCGTGTTACCGAATCAAAACAGACGTGGTCCTAGGTTGCCAAAGATGGTGTTACAGTCTAAGCTAGCGGAACAGACCGTTCTAGAGAATTCGGCTAAGTTCTGCAACAAGATGCCAATAGAAATTCTATTGAAGGTATCTGAGACATGGTCACAAGCTACTGGTTACATAAAGGGAGCAGTAAACTCAGAGAAAACGCCTGTTGCGGGGTTTAGCGCAGTGACTAGACCAACAGCCATCATAG